TAATAATAATAATAATAATAACATTAATAATAATAATAATAATAATAATAATAATAAAATTAGCCACTGAAAATAGATCAGTTATTGGCAGTCGTTGGCACAAATTAATACTACTATAATTTCTGTAATTTTTCTTATTTATTTAATATTTAACATTATTTGGTATATTATGGGTCGTCCTTGCATCGATTTTTTTGTTTGTATGGCAAAAATGTAACTTTTCCAATATTATCATGATGCATTTTCCTTTATTATTCTTATTTTTTAATATTCGACATTTCAGCTATTCTAAAAATGATAAAAATCCAAAATAAATAAATAAATAAATAAAACATAATTAATTGGGGAGAGCAGCAATACACACCATTACCAACAGTTGTAACACCGTGATAGTCGACCAAACAATAATAAAACAGCAACATATTTAAAAAATATAAATGTTGTAATAAGCATACCTTCCTGATTTGGAGTGTAAATAGGTTTGTCTGTCTGAATAAAAACAACCTGATTTTTAGTAGTTACTAACACATCAACATTCCTGTCAAATGGATGTGCAGCATTAGTCGAAAATGCACGCAGGTTTACTGTCGGAATTTCTTCATCAGCTGGAAGATCAGCTGCATCTACAATAAAACTCACACGTTGTGGTTGACCTGGAAATGATAAAATATTCCTTGTTTATAATTAATTACCATACAAACAATCAAATTTTCCAGACCATATTATTGTCTTATATAATGTGCTCATTTTATTACTGCTGAATCATAATGTGTACTCACCAGCTTGAACGACAACGTCTTTAGAGGCCAATTCTGAACCTTCGCTGGTAGTAAGTTTAACCTTCATTGGTATGTTATCACCTGTACCAAACACCGATACCAACACAATTTCTTCGACGTTGGAACGGAATATATTAGGTGCAGTTACGACAAATTTCCTTTAATGAAAAGGAAAAACAAAATTGTATGTTTATAGCCTATAATTCCATTATTATAACGTATGCATGTTGTTAATACTCCACTAACAAATCCACTTGGTAGTGCCACTAGCCTTTCAAACTTTTTTCATCATCTTAATTTGACAAAGCCGAAAGATCAGATCCAAACAATATGAAAGGAGTATTTTCCTGAATAATATTACATCACTTGTTTTATAAGCGAACTGTGAACCAACACCTTCTCCATTCTCAATAATTTGTGTTTGATTGTGATGTGGGGTCTTGCCTTTCTCTCTCTCTCTCTCTCTCTCTCTCTCTCTCTTTCTAGCTTATACCTGGAGTATTATAACTTTTAGCCATGAATCTGACTATAAAAACAAACAGAGTTTCACCATTGTTTCAAAGTAGAAAAAAAAAGCTCTTACAGAGCTTGAGCCTTGATTTGTGTTAGAACGATGCTTTTTGCACGTCACCGTTTGTTACTGCTCTCGCATAATCGGCGAGAAACTTTTACGTGACGTTATATAAAACGTTATGACAAAACATTAGATATTACATACATATTAGCCCTTATTAAGTTAAGGAAATTAACCCTGTTAGGAAAAAAAATGGTCCGGGGCCAAAATCGGTCCGCTGACCTGGAATGATTTTGGCTTTAAAATCACTACTGCCAAAAGTAGTCCACATAAGCCAAAATCGGTCCGCCATCTATTTAGTACTTATAACCTGATTTTTTTTTAGCGTTGTTCATATTTGTTTTTAATCAAATGATAGATAAATATCTCATCTCTTATTATATAATATTTTTTCATTTGTTGTGTGTGCAATTAATTGAGTATACAGCCACAAAAAATAGTATGTTATTTTCGCTCTTCGCGCCCGGTAAACTCTATTTTTGGTGTAAAGTAAAGAAATTAAACGATGATGGTAAAACGTGTTGGTCCGCTTTAAGTTTATTTTTTACCTTGTTTTGTTTTGGTTGTATGCTTGCTAAATGCCGCGACGAAATCCATGAGCAATTATTTCAAAGACATTTTTGACCCCTTTATTATCATATAATAGAACAACTATGTATGACCTAACACTTCACACAATATGCCTAATAGGCCTATGGAATATTTAAAACTAAGTCAGTCTTGTGTTTCATTTTAAGCCCAAATCTTAGTGGCCAAAAATGATGCATGCTGTGTGTCGCCAGGGCTAGGAAATGCATTATGTACTTGATAAAACACGTCAACAAAAGTTTAATAATTCACTGCAAAAGATTATTCATGTGTGGGAGAAAAACATACATGACTTCCCTCCACTCTACTGCAGAAACAATCATATCCTAAGGGCACCAAACGCGTTACAAGCGGCAACTGAGGCCGACGGACCAATTTTATCCGAGAGGAACCGACTTTGAAAATAATAATTCATTTAATAACTAAAGAGAATTGATTTTACAGTGATCTCCTTTTTAAACATTTAATCAAAAAGTTTATATATATTTTATTTTTGATAAAAATTTATAAAAGAAAGTATTTACAGTATATATATATATATATATATATATATATATATA